AACTGAACGTGAGCTTCATGAAGTTTTCAATCGGTATGCGATTAAGAAATGTAAACAATCAAAAAAGTGCGAAGATGTTATTTTGCTTGATGATGATCATAACACAACCGAAAATGAAGAGGATGATAAGGATGATATACAATGGATTAAAGACTAGGAAAGAGTTCCAAATGCATACAGTACTAATCAAAATTAGAATAAATGCAGTAAGAGAATCATGTGAAAAATTAATGTCATTTATCATTCTCCATCAAACTATGATCTATCTTTTTTAATCTTTTACTCTTTTCTTGTTATTTGTTTATGTGAACTGTCTTGTTTCTTTTGTGCTTCTTGCAATCAATTATGATTTCTCTGGTATATATAATTGAATTTTTTCCTAAAACATTTTATATATATACGTATAAATTGTTTTTCTTGTAGATAAAATCAGAGATATAACCTTTTCATATAGTCATCATTAATTTGCCATTTATGCAATTATATACTATATGCTAGACTTTGTGTGTTTCTATTAGTGATCTCCGGAATATGTTTTTTTGATTTTTTTTTCTATCAATTGTTCAATATTTTATTTTTTTTCTCATTCGTTAATCTTTAATATCAAACTCTAGAATTTTTTCTTGTTCATTTAAGATTTTTAATAATATATACTCTAATATGGCTCATATTTCAGCATTCAACTGTCAAACTGTACGAAATGAGAAAACAGTTGCACTCAATCAAGATGTCGGATATTTACTCATCGATTATCTCAAAGGTTTGGATGTCATTAATTTTATGGAAGCAGCAAATGGTTCTGAACAATTCAAAACCATTGAAATATCTGAATATAGATATTATGAAATTTTTATGAAATTAGCCAAGGAAGACAAGGTCACAGTCAATGTTCCATATCTTGACTTTTACTTAGAAACGTGTTCTTTTGATGAAATGGGATATTTGTATCCTGATCAACATCATCACGAAAACGCTCCTGTATTGCGTCTATTCATTCATCCTACATTTACGGTGGAAGCTTTTGAAAAGTTTTGTTGTACGTACAAAAATCCATCATTTCAATGTTACAGCCGTTTATTACCGTTTAATACACACTCATATGTTGGTAGTTTGATTCTTGTTGATTATTTCAATTACAAATGTTCAATTGGTTCTTCACGTGAATTAAATATTCATGAACAAAGTCTTTTTAAAGGTTTGATTTTAAGATTTATTAAGCAGAGAGAAAAAATAATTATATAGAATGTTTACAAACGAGTAGAAAGAAATTATGAATTATTAGGACAAATCAAGCGTTCTAATATAAAAATAACAGTGCATGATCATAAGATGCAACATACGATATGACACTGCAGTTAATTAATCGACTAATCATATAAATAGTACGTAAGAGAAAGAGGAGAGGAAGGAAAAAATGACTTATATACGATAATGTTTATATATGACTGACGCAAATGCAATAGATGAAAAAATTATATTGTTTTAAAAAGAGAAAAGATATCGAATAAAAGATAACGTGAGGCAAAAAGTTGTCACTATAAGGCTTAGATTTCATATAGTAAATTAGTTCAGAGACTAGAACACAAAATCTGTAAAATCGACCATCTATGTTAAAAATGTGACGGTATCCAATAAAAAACAAATGAAAGTTTGCCAGAGAGACAACATATTAACTAGATATTATCTATACATAATATTCTTTAATTTAGAATGTCAATTCTTTCGACCATTTGAACATAATATGCTAAACAAGAAATTATTATTTGTGGAATCTATTTCAGAATTTATGACGAACTTCGAAATTCGTTTTAAGGCATCTTCATGGATAAAAGCTATTGATTTTAACAAATTTCATATTTCCGGTGGTTGTATTGTCAATAGTCTTTGCAAACATTCGTTTCCAGATACTACTATTGAAAAAGTAGATATAAATTTCAACGGCAACTCATTCCATGAATTCGAAGATGCAGTTGATAATGTCTATACCGATTTGACGAAGATTATGTCAAAGAACAATCACTATTTAAGTACAACATTAGTAAAAAAAAGCAATGGTGGTTACATTATTGTACTACCTTTTAATATTCAATTACAGTTTAATTTTAAAAATGTTCCCAACAACACCAATCCTGTAAGCTATGTACTTCATTCCAGTGATATTGATGTCAGTCAAGTTGCATTCACAGGTGAGAAAAACTGAAACCGATGAATAATCATTATCTATGTTTTTAACAGGTTCACGTGTATTTTGTACATTTGCTTTTTTACAAGCTATTGCGACAAAATCATTTATATGTTATACAATGCATGCAAATATGGTGAAAAGCATATACGATAGAATTATTCGATATTATCGAAGAGGATTTATTTTTCTTGAACCTCAAGATTTCGATGATACTCTATATAATGGCATAATGAGTAGCATTGATTTCGAAGAGAAGAGAGAAGAAACGAGAGAAATAATAGATGATGATGGTGAAATTCAAATTATTACAGCAACTTATCAACCACGTCAATGGCCACTTCCAAACGTCGACACCCATCGACTTCAAGAAGCTTTCATCAAACGAATTGATTCTAAACAATTCGAATAGACATATACATATTTGTAGCACTTTAGTTACAGTTTTTAATCTATTCGTAGCAAAGTAGTTCACAATTTTAATCGAATTCTATTCGTTAGTATTGTAAATTTGTTTTGATTAATGTTGATCGTTATTTATATGATATTTTTCATTTCATACATATTATGCATGAATTTAAAGATTGAAAAATTAATGTTTTAAGTATATATTTGTAATATATTTAGATTCTTCAGATTGTAAAAGCTTATTAATATTTAGCAATTGCAAATTTGTTAACATGTCAAATACACCAAGTAAGAACAACAAAATAAAATATCATTTTTTTATGAAGAACTTTTTCTCATTGTAGAAACTACAATGAACAACAATAATGCTGCTCAACAAGTTAAATTGAATGATGCGGCTGAAGTGAGATACTTTATTCTCTTGTCACATCTTAAAAAACCTTTTTTTAGGCATCAAATTATTCAAATTGTTCAGAAAAAAGATCTTCTGCTGAAGATATCAATACTGAAACAAAGAAAACACGCTTCGAAACTCCAATTCTGGAACAAAAAACTTCGATGCCTTCTGCTGCAAGCGCCACGGTACCCAAATTTGTGAGTGCTGCTACAATGGCTGCACCAGTTCCCGAAATTAGTGATGAAGAACTTCTCAAGTTTACACTCGAATTCGAACGTAAACATGGTATTTAACGGTTCATGAAACTATCAAGAAGCAATGAACAATAACTTTTTTTTGTATGCTTGCCTATTAATCTAGTGTTCGCTTCTTTTTGATGAAAACATTATATTATTCATGTTAAATTAGATATATATATAGCATTAAAATATTGTCATTTAATCGTTTTTTTTTGTTCGCTTCTTTTTAATGAAAACATTATATTATTCATGTTAAATTAGATATACATACATCATTAAAATATTGTCATTTAATCGTTTTTTTGTCTTCACTTTCAGATCAGCATATTAGCTAATAATGTAATTTAAAGAGACAGTTGTGATCATCAGTTGTTTTCGGATATTTCTCGACAGGTAAGATGATGATATTTATGTTCTACATTCAAGTGATAACATTTGTCAAAAAATATGGAAGTCAATCCTTCTGCATCATATTCAGGTAAGTTATTCATCTTCAAATTTTCTCATAATTTATAAAAGATATTTGTTTTCAGATAAAGGATGCTCATGTCACCTTGCGTCCATATACATACATACATACAATTGGCTTAGGATAAATTTTTTCCTTAATGAATATACTAGCGTACATTTCGCATTGGTAGTGCCTTTAAGTTTCTGATCTCCTTTGTTTTGTTACGAAATTTCATTAATGAAATTTTTCTTTTAGTTTGATTTGATTAGAAGAGTTGATAAAAATATGTGCACCAATAGGCTATTTCATAACCTCATCTTCTTTTTGATGGTGATAGGAAAAAAATGTATAATAATATGATTATCGGATTCGTCTGCTGCTTTTCTCATTCAATCATATTCAGAAAGAAAAGAAAAAAGAAAAGGAAAGAAAAGAACGTATAAAGAGTAAACTATATGATTATCGGATTCGTCTGCTGCTTTTCTCATCCAATCATATTCAGAAAGAAAAGAAAAAAGAAAAGAAGAGAACATCTAAAGAGTATGACATGAAAGTGCTAATAGATGTGTTAATTTCTTGCGTATGTGTATCGTATCTAAAGAAGTAAATTTTTCAATGAAATATCTCAACAAAAGGCTTATTTATCCAATAATTATTTTCGATCTTATGATAAAGACACTACAATGATATTGTTAATTAATACATAATTATGTTACACACATGAACTCAGTCATAGAAAGAAATTTCGAACACACATTTATATCAAAAAAAAGATCATATCAGTATCTCTGTGGTTATTGTTAATCAACAAGAGATGACACATGGTGTTAATTTTTTTCCCCTTGTGCAATGTTTGATAGTGATGACATACTTTTTACGCATTCCAGTTATTTTTTTTTCTTTCAAAACATATACAGAAAAAATGAATACAGATACGATGTCGTTCTGCTGAATGTCGGAAGCTAGAGAAAGGCGAAATAAATAGAAATAATAGTTAGTAAATGAGACATCTCGAAACAAAGAGTTTAATTAATCAATTGGTGGTACTTAATGTCTCTTAGACGTACGTTACTGAGAAATTTATAAGCTTTTCGACTTAAAACGAACGTCAAGTGTGAAATTATAGAGAAAGGATAAATAACAATTGTGTGTCATAATTCCATACAAATACGATAATCTATACGCTTTCATCTTTCAATTTCACTTATTGAAACGTGTCTCAATAAACCAATATATATGTATATGAGGAGGAAGAGTGTACTTATTAACAATAATGTTTCGACATTTTGCTTTTTAGACATCTTTTGAAGATTAATATCATATATACAAAAATTTCAGCATACATACAATGACAAATTCTAATGAAGATTTCAATCCAGTTTATAATAATCCGTTACCACCTGAATTTGCTCACTGGTCATTAGATTTATATTTGGATGATGATGAATTTCGTGCTGGATATCCGTTCTCAGATATTCCAGAAATCGAATCAAACAGTTAAATACTCTCATCATATAAATCAAGTTAATACCACTTTGTTTCTAGAAACCGGCGAGACATACAATACTTCACCAACATTGAATAATGATGTTGTTCAATCAAGTAATTCAAGTGGCGGTAAATTATTTCAATTAACATATAGGTGTGACAACATTGTTGTATACATTTATTATAGGTATTTGTATTTCAACAACAAAGGAAAATAATCAATTAACTGAATTATCAACTGAACAACAAGTGAAAACTGAAGTACAAAATAATATGTTCATCAACTATCTTCATTTTAGGAAAAAAAAGCAGATGGTCGATTAGAATCCTGTCTCATGGATGAACGTCATAAAAATCATGCAATACATTCAGGTCAATTAAATAATTATAAAAAAGAAGTCCTTGGCGATGATCATCAGCATGATATTAAAGACTCAGTTAACGCCATCAACATTGAAACATTTGAAGCATCGCATCACGTTCAAACAAATAAATGAGTCATCGTAAATTAGATATAGGATAGTATACTAACACTTCTTTTATCACATTTTGTTCTTGAAAGTATTATTTCAAATTTTAAGTTTTTCTTACTTAGTGTTATTCTCTTTTCATATGTAAACTAGAAATTAATTGTAGATGCCGATAGTAAATAAATCATCAGCAAAAAAGATTCAGCTTTTTGTCAAACCCATATGATTGAATTTCATTGGATGTGATGGAGTAGATATGAAAAGTGATTATCGAGCAGCAGATACTAATTTCAATAAAAGATCTTGTCAATGAAGAGAGAAACTCTCTCTTCAATATCGTGTCCTAATGGACAGAAGTGATTCTCGAGTAATAGATGCTGGTTACGATGAAAAATCATTTTGAGGAAGAGAGAAACTCTCTCTTCAATGTCTCTTTAATGCCTATCTATAACAATCAAGTAGTTGTTTTATGTATGTTTATCGAACATTTTGTAGAAATATAGTTTGTCATTTTCTACATTATTCTTCTATAATAAACACTTGTTGCGGCAAACTCTTGTGGAAAATCAGATTTGTGTGTCCGATACTATTCTTTCGCGAATTAGTTCACCATGTACACTAATTCTCCATGTATCTGAAGCCTGGCAGTATCATGTTTTGGAAACCAAGCGTGACTATGTCGAGGAGATAGAAAAACCGAGATTCAAAACAAGGAGCAACTTGTGACGGATGATATGTTTGTATGTAAATATGCTTTTTGATGAATTGGAATTGATAATGGTCAGTTGATTTGTGTACAATTTGTTATTATTTGATGTGTGAGCATTGAGTTTGTTCGAATATGATTAATGATCAACGATTACTCATCTCTATCGTTGAAGATGTGAGGTAACAGCATACACTTCCGTGAAGATATGCGATGAATGCTTTCACATTATGTTTATCTATCATATAAACTTGAAATCAGCTCCATGGGAGGTTGTCATTGGATATATATATATATATATAAAGCAAAACGCAATGCATGTTCATAAAAAAAAATTTTCTGCTTGCATACACATGTATTTTTCGCAAAGACTCAACGATTTAAATAAAAAAAAATCTTCGTCTATGGACGCCGCCGCCGATTCTACGGTATGGGGCCATGCCTATTTTTGAGAAGCAATGGCATGTGCAAAATCGGCGGCGGCGTGTACCGGCCATAAAGAGAAGCTGGTACGGGGAAAACCAGGTGAGTCACATCATGAAAATTTTTCAATTAATATAGATTTTTTTCATAAATAGGGACAGTGTGGCCTTGCTATTCCGTCCGTGATGGTAGCACCATCACGAAGGAGCCAGCCGCTCCTATGTACCTGGTGGGGTACATAGGAGTTCAACCGGTGTACAATGCCACCAGTACACCGGCAACAGGTAAGCATATATCTTTAAATTTTGAAATTTTAATAAGAAAACCATATTTTATTTAGATAGTCAAGGCTGCGTCCCTGGTCCGTACCAGCTTCAATGGCCGGTACTTGTTCCTGGCATGCTGGTCGCCATGGCCCCCGACCAGCAAACTTGTACATACCAATGTAAATAAACATTGTAAATATTGTAAATATTTTTTTGTTCATTTTTTCATTGTACATATTTTATCGTAGTTTTGTGTAAATATAATTTTTTCAATGTAATTTTTTGTAAATACAATTTTGTAAATACAATTTTGTAAATGTAATAATTTTGTAAATAAATGTAATTTTGTACATATACTTTATTCACTTTTCATTGCACTAGAGCTCTACAATGGTTCCAAAATAATTTTCTGAAACCGTTGCGTTTTAACAGAATAAGAATCAACACTAAGACTTATCTTCTGCTTCTAAATATATGAACTCGAAGACAAAACATGTCTCTTCAAAATGCATAATCGAGCAACGTAATAACGATAAAAACATGACGAAACCTATACTTTTTTGAACAGTTTCAGAAAATTATTTTTGAACCGTTGCGGGTTGTAATCTTTTGAAACTGATCTTTTCCACAATTTAAACTGTTGTTTAAAAAAAATCAGAAAAAAAGAGAAGAGATGAAAAACATATTTTAAATTATCTTTTATTATCGTAGATCTAGAAAAGAAAAAATTGAAGAAAGAAAACATCCATATCTATCGACTTCAAGTTCAACTTAAGCATATCTGCTCCTTTTACAATAAATGCAATAAAAATACAAATAGTAAACACTTCCAATGACGACCACAATATACGAAAAAAACAAATGCAAAAATTGCTAGTAGCTGATCGTACATCCACAATCCAATGTATAACTCTTGGCTTGGCCCAACCTCCTAATCTTTTATATTTATTCAGTTTTCAAGTTCCTGTATATGTATACACATGGAATACGCTCTGTTCTGATTATACTCATCATACAACATGAATTTAAAGATATAAGAACGGATGGTACTTTCATTCACATCACCTGTACTGACAAATCGAATTTACTCAAAAGAAATTATAGTCTCAATCATTTTTTAATATTTAATCTTTAATTTCTAATTCGTTTAACTTTTAATGTTTTCGATTTTTAATTTTTTAATTCTTTAATTTTATTCTTATGTTATTGAGTATAATTTTTGAATTTTCGATTTTAGTTATTTTCCGACT